AAGAACAAACAAGTAACGATTTCGAAGAAAACAGTTTGCTTCCTGGTCGCTATTTAGAAAGTGCAGGTCTACACCAATACCAAAGCAAGGTGTAAAGATTGCTGGAGAGTGTAGAATTGGCCAACGTACAAAAATCGTGGAGAATTGTTTGACTTTACAACACGCACTCAATTTAAAAGCGAAACTTGGAAATAATTAGCGTTTGAATTGGTTGTGGAGTTTTAATTTAGGTCATATTTGTGTCTATGGTTATAAAAAAAAAATTATAGATGTTACCAAAAGCATCTACACAGTGCGTGTAAATACAATCGTTGACAAAGGAAAAAATTTCCACAGGCTTCTCTCAACTCAATACTCGCTGAATTTGTATTCGTCGGAATAAATTTTCTCGTTAATCGCAAAGCACATCTGAAAACTGCGTTCTTTTTCCTTCGAAGATTTATTTGCAACGTTTTTGTGTAAAATTAGTAATCGGGTTTGGTATAAGAGTTGACTGATAATAAAAAACTTTAAGATTAAAAGTAAGAAAGCATTTTAAAAGATCTAAGAAAAGTAATGGAAATTGCTTTGAATCCGGTCGTTGCGTCGTCGACGCATATCATAACATTAGTTGGAGCGGAAGGACAACCAGCATTGTTGGAAAAGCAAATCGACAATTCTGCCTGCAATAAAACCTTTCATATCGCTGATAACGGAGTCGTAGGCATCGGCCACAGTATTTTAAATTTGTTTGGTTCACCGACGGAGAGCTGTAGAAAGGAAGAAGGTAAATACGTAGTATGTAGATACATACATATGTCCATACATACAGTATTGGCCAATACAATATCACTAGCATTTCAGTGTAATATTGTTTCCAGCTCATGTTTATCTATTTATTTTTTGCAATTTTCAATTAATATACAGCTCCGTAAAAGTACACTTCAGCGGAGCCAGGCCAAATTTGATAAAAAAAAATCAAGAGGGGTATCAATCGACGCGTTTTAACGCGTATAATAACAATCCGATACCGGAAAGTAAGATTTTTAATTAATTTAAGAGTTATTCCCTAGGGACCCCTTAGAAAAATGGCCAAAAATTACAATTTTCACTTGCGTCCACAGTATTTTTGCGTAGAACTCCTCTCTGCGTAGACCGCCTTCAGCCGCGCTTTAGGATTATAACACTTACCAAATAGAATTCTTCCTTTGGTGTGCACCAACTGGTGCCACCGCTCCAGTGATGTAGCCTTGGGAAAGGATGAGGTAACTAGAATTCCCTTTCTGTGTGGTAAACCTCGCGCTGTCGCCCCAGTGATGTCTATTATGGTTACTGGGTGTTTTATAAAAATGTCTTGTATATAAAAAAAAAAGAGTGCAAAGCGAAAAGTGCAAGTGTTTTCTGCGAATAACTCTTTAATGAATTCAAAATGTTAATTTCCGGTCTCTGATTATTATTATTGGCGTCAAGACGCGTCGATTGATACCACTCTATACTTTTTTCCGTCCATTTTGACCTGGTTCCGCTAAAGTGCACTGTAGGTAGTAACACAAAACCCAAGTTTTAAACTTTGTAAAATACTACAAAAAATGCAAACACTACGTAGAATTCTCTTCTGTGTTGCCAAAGAAAGGGGGCTGAACACCTTTCTGCGTAGGCGGTCTTCGGCCGCACTTAGGGATTATAACCCTCACTACGTATAATTCTCTTCTGTGTTGCCAAAGAAAGGGGGCTGAACACCTTTTGCAGAGAACACCTTTCTGCGTAGGCGGCCTTCGGCCGCACTTAGGGATTATAACCCTCAGGCAGTAGAATTCTCCTTTCTGTGTAGCCAAAGAAGGGGGGCTGAACACCTTTTGCAGAGAACAACTTTCGGCGTAGGCGGCCTTCGGCCGCTCTTAGGGATTATAACCCTCAGGCAGTAGAATTCTCCTTTCTGTGTTGCCAATGAAGGGGGGCTGAACACCTTTTGCAGAGAACAACTTTCTGCGTAAGCGGCCTTCGGCCGCACTTAGGGATTATAACCCTCAGGCAGTAGTATTCTCCTTTCTTTTTTGCGAAGAAAAGGAGCTGAACACCTTTTGCAGAGAACACCTTTGTATATTTTTAATGCTTACAGGGTTATAACTTATTTTCTTTTGTCTCTCATCCTTCTTGTATAATTAGCTGTTTGACAGCTAAACACCGCCATTTAATTTGCATATGCAACCAAAGGCAGACGCGTGGTTTTGAAGGTGTTTTTATTTAATAAATTGTGATTGATAGGTTAAAATTAAAGTAATAAAGAAAGTTGTAACAAGTCGAATAAAGTTTAAAGTGAAGGGGAATATAAAAATGCATTGGTGAAGTGGCTGCTTTAAGGAAAATAGGAGTGATAAATGTACGCTAATTTCCGAATTTTACAAAAAAGGGCATATTTCAAACCCAATTTGTAAATAAATTAGTGATCAAAAATTACAATAGTGGATGTTAAAATAATGGGTAGACCCTTGGCTCGGGTCACCCCTTTGGACGCAATACCCCGAAATAGGTGGGCCACTTACTAAACAGTACCCAAATTTATTATTTTTTCTCAGAACTGTTAGAATTTTTTTAGTACGCAGTTTTATAGACCATTAAATTTTAGTCTAACAATATGCAAGTTTCAAGTGGCTAAAAATCACCGTTGATTTTTTAGAATTTTTTTCGCCGAAGGTGTTGCGGGTTTCTTCCATATAAAAATAAATTGTGTTTATTCGTTATATGGAAGCAAACGCGACAAAAACGTTTGTTAGAGAATGAACTGTATTTTTAGTAAAAATTCTTAAAAATTAATAAATTAAACATAAGTGGCAAACAATATCACTTTGAAATGGGGGTGCTATAGATATGGCCAATACTGTGTCACTAAGGTATACCTATCATCAAAATTCGGGGTTTTAGTATAATGCACCATTCAATTTTTTACCAAACTGCTATGACTTCTTTTGAAACTTGATGTTGAAAATGGGAGAGCAAGCTTTCTTTCTTATCTTTCATATTCACTTTCCAATAACCAATTGATTGGATCGTTCCACATATCCAAGCATACGCGGCGAATGGTCCATTGTATTAAAGTCACCTTCCAACTTTAGCTGTTATGTTATGTATTTGTTCATTGAATATAAAATGTAAAACAATTTGACATTCCCTTTAAAGTTCTTACAACTAATGACAAATATACATTAGCGTCGCTATCCCTTAAGAACGCACTAAATGTAAATAATGACAATGCTAATGGAAGTGGCTTTCAGAAGTTAATTGAGCAGCAGACTAACAAAACGAAAATACTCCAGTGCAATAGCAGTGATTTAGCGCTGCAACAAAAGAAAAAGAAAGATGCAGCAAAAACTTCAGATGACTTGTTGGCTGCTTTAAACGGAACAAAAAATACTTCAACAAATAAATTAAATAAAATCAAACGGACCACCAGTTCAAATGCATCAACATCATTATCTTCATCTTCATCACCACCTTCAATGTCAGCACCTATAGTAGCAATAGCTACACTAACTACAACGAACTGTTCAAGCGCGTCATTGACAACAGGAGCATTAGTTATGAGCACAAACACCGTGACTAGTACAGTAAATGGGATCAAAAATGGTTTACAAATTCCGTCCGACATACTTGATGACTTGGCAAGCCGTTTTATTATTAATGTTCCTGATATGGAATTGAGTAATTTGATAAGGATTTGCTTTCAAATTGAGTTAGCACATTGGTTTTACTTGGATTTCTTCTGTGCCTCAGCATCAGAACAGCAACATGTCGACGATTCGGGCAAGAAAAAGAAACTGCCATCTTGCGGTATAAAACAATTTGCGATACAGTTGTTTCAGGTAGAGATTAACTAAAATTTTAACTTAAATTTTGAAAGTCGTTAAGTTTCCATACTAATTGCCTTGCAGCATATTCCATTTTTACGCGAGCACTTATCATCAATCGATAAAATTTTAGACGATTGGAAGAATTACAAGCTATCAGTTCCCACATTCGGGGCAATTTTAATATCTGAGGATCTCAATTTTTGCCTACTAGTGCAATCGTATTTCGCTAAAAGTTCATGGGGCTTTCCGAAGGGTAAAGTCAATGAGAATGAAGATCCAGTGCACTGCGCCACAAGAGAGGTGGGTTAAATAGATTTATTGATAATATGTACATAATTGAAAGGGTTAGACTGTGACATTTTTTGAAAATATAAGTTATACCCATATTTGTATAGTTAATTATAGTATTTATTTGGTGACAAAGAGAAAACATTCTTTGAATAAGTTAATTAACCTGTATTCATTTAGGCAAGAATCATTTCAAATAAATTTAGCCAGAATTTACAATAAGCAATCAACCTTAACTTAAATTATCCTAAAACAATGTCAGACCTACTTAGATCCTTTTGATTCTAACCCCTTCAATTGTTTTTTTGCATATCGACATATACTGGAATATTTACTAAATGCTTTGCCTTATTTTTAATTACAGGTTTTTGAGGAGACTGGTTACGATATAACTAAATTAATAGTACCAAATGACTACATTGAGGCTGTTATTAATTATCAATATACACGTTTGTACATAGTGCGCGACGTATCATTAAATACACAATTCTCTCCGCGGACTCGCAATGAGATTAAGTGCTGTGATTGGTTTCCGATCGACTCGTTGCCAGTCAATAAAAACGATGCCATATCAAAAGCCAAATTAGGCATAAACGCCAATTCATTTTTTATGATAATGCCATTTGTTAAACGGCTTAAAAAGTGGGTACATGATAAACGTTCTGGAGTAGAGACACGACGTAAATATTCTGGTGAAGGCGGAGGCAACTCGTCTGATTCGACGAATTCCCCAACGACGCTGATGACAACAGCAGCTTTGGCCACTGCAGTTGCTGCAGCTGGTGGTAATAATAACTGCATTAATCAAAATCACACAATAACTAATAGTTGTAGCAAGAAGAATAAACACCAATCAAACAATAGTAATGATGATAAGCATAACGCCTTAAAAAGTAGTGGTGGAAATACTACTAATACTGGCAATAGCAATGGTGTATCTACGGCGGCATCAAGCAACAACAGTAATCGTTCGAAGAGACAACGCCATAAATCGATGGGGGATTTGGACGGTATTAAACTAAATAATTTAAGTTCAAATAATTGTAATTCAAATAATATTTGTAAAAACTCGGCTAACATAATGACACCTGCTGCAGACAGTGGTGAGACAACAAAGGAATCAAATGTAAATTATGGTGGAGAATCTGGTAATTGTAAAACAGTATCCAGTCATAAACGCAATGGAAGTTCCGTAAAACTTGTTGCTGCCGGCAGTAGCAATAATGTACAAAATAGCAACCACAATAGCATTGTTGGCTGCACGACATCCAAACGACAGTTGTTTCACAGTCAAAGTCAAAATGGCAGTAACCAAAATGGAGAAAAGGTGAGTATAGTGCAGATTAACTTTAGCTTAAAATAGAAAGGCCCTAGAACATACATATTTTTTTTTCAAATTCAGTTTTTAACGGATTTTTATGTATATTCCTTAAAATACACCTTCATTAAAAAAATATTGCATGAATATGGAAACTAACGGTAATACAAGTACATATTACAAAAAGCCGAAACTCTTTTCATAATTCTTTCAAAAGGAAAAGTCCCAACTCACACTACGCGAAAATCAAAATAATTGCGAAGAAATTAGTCGCTTTTCTTTCTTTTATGAATCTAAGCTAAGTAACCAGTTTTTTGTTGTACAGCCCAAAGTGTGTTTTTTTTTTTTAATTTTATAAAAAACTAGCAGAGCACCTGACGTCGTTCGGGGTAAACAAATCAAAATATAAAACAGTCGTACAAATATTCAGCTCAGCATAAATTAGAGGAGGAAAACTATTTTCTTTCTATTTAAATTAAGGCATCCTTATGAGCCAAACTTTAAGCTTTATCGTACTTCAACTAATATATATTGATCATCACTTTCTGTACTAAAAATCTCTTTCCATTATTAATTTAGAATTTTTAAATTAAAATTAGTCTACTATGGTACATTCCGTTTAGCTTTCTATTCGCTAAGCTGTTTTAGTATAGCTGCACTTTTACGGTAGAATGCTTATTTCAGAAGTAGTTTTATTCATTATACACGCACATGTTTCGTTTGACAGCATCGTGGAATCAATAAAATGATTTAATCTTCCCATTGCAAAATGCTCTAAAGACTGTAAGGTTTCAAAAAAACATAGTTTTAAATATCTGAGTGGTCTAATAGTTGAATACATATTTATCTCCCTTTTACAAACACATTTATATATACTTTATTCTAAACACCTCTCATAGATATGTCTGCACACCAAATTTCAGGTTTATGTGACTTATGGCTCCCAATATATGGCTGATTGGATTTTTATGTATATTCCTTAAAATACACCTTCATTAAAAAAATATTGCATGAATATGGAAACTAACGGTAATACAAGTACATATTACAAAAAGCCAAAACTAATTTCATAATTCTTTCAAAACGAAAAGTCCCAACTCACACTACGCGAAAATCAAAATAATTGCAAAGAAATTAGTTGTTGTTGTTGTTGTAGCGGCTACAACAACCCCGCCCAGGACGGTTGGTATCTCAGTCGTTGTCGTCAAGTTCCACTAACGGCAACCCTAGGAAGCGTACAGCTTCTGTGGGGTTGGTCCACAGGGACAAGGCCGTTAGGGTTGTCGGGTTTTCCGGGCATGCGAAGAGATGTTTCGAGTCATGTGGGGTCTCTCCGCATGCCGGACACTCATTCGGCACATCCTCATTCAATCTACTCAGGTAGGAGTTTAACCTGCTGCAGTAGCCGGAGCGAAGTTGTGCTAGTGTTGTGCGAGTCTCCCGAGGCAGATGAAGTTCCGTCTCGTCTGTGTCCGGGGGTGGTATGCCTAGAACGGCATTCAGAGGTCTGGAGTCTACATAACTCGAGACTGACTCCCTGTGAATGCCGTTCAGGGCCTGTCGGTAAGCTGTCGGGTCCAGAGATTGCTTGATGAACCTCTGGACTTCGTCCGTCAGTTCATATAGATGCCTCCTGACGTGCCTAGGCGAGGGCTCCTCTGCAAGCATCTGTCTGTTTGGGTGGCCACTTCTGTGGCTCCGATCAGGAACTGCTTGCAGAGCATTATATTGTGCTCCTTTACGGGGAGCATTTGCGCCTCGCCGTGAAGATGGTGTTCGGGCGTCATCAGGAGGCATCCTGTCACTGTCCTGAGTGCGGCGTTCTGTGCAGTCTGTAGCTTCGTCCACTGCGTCCTACTAGTCCCCGGCGACCACACTGGCGCTGCGTAGTTCAAAACCGGCCGGCCTATTGC